TTCACTAGTTGAATGCGCGAACACAGTACTATGTAGCCTCTTAAAGTATCCTGGAATTCTACTGTATGTTCCCTCACCAGTCTACACCGAGCAAGGCCTATTCCTTTGTGTTCTCCACCTCATGATCCTCCTCCACCTCATCCAGCCTGGTGAAGGTGTGGTCAATTAATTAGCACCATAGTGTCCTCCAGGGCACGTTTCGTAGTTGGAAGGTCTTCCAGTAGGTATGACCGCATAGTAGCCTCTCTCTCTCGCGCGAGGTCCGCTTCTATCAGTTGTCAATCACTCTTCCTAATCTCCTAGCTGTCATCCTCTGTGTTGATCACTGTCGGCTCGGTACTCCCCTCGTAGCGAACTCAAAGACTGTCTGTCTTTACATCCCCTCACGAACAGGATGTTTCGATAGCAGCGTTCCTCGCAGCTGAGGACTGGTTATTAACCTGAAATAGAAAGATAAAAGAGATAAGCTTTCGTTGACGCATGCTTCAAATTGACGGACTCGTCCAAGCACGGTGTATAGTACAGCCGGAGAGAATTCCATCATCCGGCTAGTAAGTATGACTAATGTTAGCGCACTCCCCAGGATCGTGGCCTCTCTCGACGATATATTTGGTCAAGCGCGAAACGATACCCACGGCAATATCGCTCTTTCATGCCGTCACAAAGCGAGCGCCAACATGCTGTGCGATTAACTCTGCAATTCGTGTCTCAAAAAGGTTGGTCCGATTGTGAACCCTGTCTTTATGGCATTTTGCCACGAAGATGCTTCGGCACTCGTCGCGAAAGTCCTAAAAATCTCGTTGCGCTCCTGCTCATGAGCATTCTTGAAATAGCTTGCATATAGCAGCAAGTTGATGTATACGTTTCTCGCCAGGATCGTTGTGCCTTACCTCGTTCCGGCTCACTAATCGGGATACGGTAGGAGCGCATTTCAGCTATATGGACCCTATACAACTTGCCGCTCACCCACATCCGCACTGTATGATATACGGGTGGGTCAAAGCTGCTATTATGAGGTGTGTTAGCAGGGTAAAACATTACCACTCGGCCGAAATTGAAGATTGTTCGTCGCACGTACCTGCCAATATGCGCCTTGATATCCATCGCCCACGCCCTACTATCGAGTTCCATCGATTAAGACACCAGCAGTCCCGGCATTGCCACGTCACCCAGATCCTCCTTTACAATACCAACGAGGTTAATACATTGTAACTTATATCCCTTGAAATAAATAATATTACCCTTATCAACATGATGGGGAAAAACACTTTCATTCGTCGCCAAGGTGTAAAGTACCAGCCCTGTCATGGAAGAACGTGTTACATTGTACGCCGATAGAAACTCGGCCATCGCATCTGGTCTAGAAGCTTTCTGTTCCACTGGCAAGATCATGGATATCTTCTGGTCTCTACTTTTGTACACCGGGTGAACTCTGGTATTTCTCTCTGTGCATCATGACGGAAAATATTCCGCAATCAGTGGGCTATCATTATCAACGATAAGCTGACGTGGCCAACCCCGTGAAATAGTTTGTTGCTCCACAAACCTCTTCATGAAATTGTATCCGTCAGTACTCCAAATGTGATAGTAATAATCTATGTGTCATGCTGCACCGAAGGCCCGAGCCCGTGACAGAGAAGCCCATGACGCAAGACCACCGAAGCACCCCGACGAGCAATACGCACTGTGCATGTATCCACGATCTTCATTTCAAGCTAGTTTATCTTGGAACAACACGAACAACGGCATCCTTTACGCACAGGGAACCTGCACCTGCTTCAACCCTATCGAACACTATATACGGCTGGCGGACCTGCGGTGGTATCAGAAAGAGACTTAGACTCGACATCCGCAGACTCTGTTTGCAACGCTGGAATTTTATCAAACGCACCTTATCCGTACTCTTGGCTTTGCAGAAGGGCTACACGCTGTTGTTCCGACAACTCTTGAGCATTCGCTCATGGTTCCAGCGTCTCCACGTCGTCGTCCCCACCGGTGCGAGCATCATCCTCTACCTTGTAAGCACTAATACACCGCCGCCAGCTTTGCTTCTTGCCTGAGCGGCTTCTGTTAGCGCCTGTTGCTCCTCTCGTAACATTTGTCACAGGCTCCGCATCCTCTTCGAGTACTCCATCCGTCTTATACGCCTCTGCAGACCGCGGAACCGCCATACACCATCTATTCTCGGGTAACAATGCCCTCCCAGTGTTTTTCCATGGATTACTATCGTTGGCAGGCCCCATATTGGCATTGGTATTGCTGGACATACTGTCCAAATCGCTCTCGTCGCGCAACGAATTACCCCTATGACTGCTGGCCCTGAGCTGGGCACTGTATCATCTCTGTTATGTAGTCTGGATCCGCCATTAACTCCTTCGACCGTGAATTTCCGAATTGGGTGTGATCGGAATACACCAGGTAGGGTTAAACTTAGGTTTATTAGAGTTTATTAAAGTTTATCAGAAGGATCAGATAAACTTAGTTTGGCCAATTAATAAAATCAGCACATGACTCATCAAATGTCATCGATTATAAATCGGTACATGACTCATTAATTAGAAGAGTCATGATTTTTACTATTATCCATAAAAGAAGAACGTATCCCTCTCTTAGAAAGGAGAACGTTGAGATACAGTTATCTAGCGTGTACTTACGTCATTTTTAACTTATCATAGATGTTGTTAGTTTATTAGTAATCATAAAGTAGCTACGATACAAGAGATAGACAGTAGCTGGTAGTTTTTTTGTTGTTGTTACAATAATAGCACTAGAAGAAAAGAGACATCGAAAACAATAAGAGCATTAGAATGTCGCAACAAAATGACGAGGTCTTTCGAAATATGCCTATCGAAGAAGAGGATAGCGGGTTCTCTAGTAGTAATGCCAGCGCTACGATTCCTTCATTTATTTCAGACAGCAGCAGTGAAGCGGAAGAAGAATCGAGACCGGATAGCCGGAATGCCCGCTGGGAACCAGCCAGGAGTTCTGAGGTGAATAATAACAGATTCAGAATCAATAGGAACGACATGGCCCGGCATCTTGAGCGCTTTAGGTTGTCTGTCCGGCTCACCAGCGACGACGCTTGGACAGCAAGTACGAAGACGGAAACTGTTCCCACAATCAAATCTGAGGATGGATCCACATAGTCAAATACATCAATGGCACAAGAGCGACAAGGACGAGTCCAGGACGATCAAATGACGAAGTCAGAGGACCAGCCAGAAAACTCAGATAAGTATATACGCGTTAATGAAAGGTAATTGAGGCTGAATGGGTGTGATGTATGAGTAGAGTGTGCAGTGAAGTGACAAGTTTAACCCCTATTTAAGAGGAGTAGTTAGAAAAAAAGAGGTGGCTCTATATGAACTGCGGTAGTAGAAATGGGAAGTGTACATGGATAGAGCCGAACCGGCTGGTATAACGAAATGGATAAATCAGTAGAATACTATATTTGATTTGCAAGAACATGGAATACTTGGAGGTTGAAATATACAAGCTAGATTACAATCTTCACCTAGAATAGACAAAGTTATACAGTGCACACGTTAGTTGATGCCGAAGAATGAATGCACTAGGAAATGACCAAGATACAGTTAGGACAATTGTTATGGATAGTATAGGTAGAGTGTACGGCTAACGACATATACTAAGAACACAACAAAATAGTGAGTAACTATGTATAGGACGCTTGGTAAGTCGACGAAATCAACAAGTAGAAATTGAGCGGCGATACATGCGCATTTAATGGCAGCCATGTGCAACACGGAACATAGGGGAGTTCGAAATATTTAGCAGACAGATTGTAGCCTACAAGACGTATATAAAGGAGTGGTTATTTAGAAAATTTAGTATAAGGGTTACTACAGAGGGCAGTGACGAAATTGAGCCAATTGGGAATCCATGTGAAGGCGTTTACAGCCAAGATTGAACGATGGGTGCAACAGATAGGGTTTTGTAGAAGAAATAAGATACTGAAGTGTACGTAAAGCAATAGTAAGCACCAGTGAGCCTCCTTAGGATCGTAAAAGGGTGTTTTAATACGTAACATAAGCGATATATGTGGTACATTGTTGAATTTTGCGTATGTGATATTAGAACGTACACGATGTAACAGAACCTTCAGGTAAAAAAGGTAAATGGGGATGCTTGGGAGAATGCACAGGGTGCAGTATTCGTTGGAGAGTAGTTTAGGAGCGCGACAGTTGACGACACGGCACATATGACAGGAAAACATAATTCAACGACCGCAACGGCACATGACGAGACACGACGAGCAGAGAAAGCGAAGGAAGGGGAGCAAGAAGAGAATTCAGAAGCTTTCCATGGAGAAAAAGGCCGTATACCGAGGGCAGGATTGACTCCATGTCGGAGTAGGAGCAGACTACAAAAGCTTTAAGAGATGTTCCGACAAGTGGGGCGGACCCCAGCAAAGAGTTTAGTTGAAGGGAGAGCAAGACCACAGATCGTTGGATGGGGAGTCAGACCGAGTCTTATCTACCACTCTGTGGGTGGAGTTGAGGTAGTCGAGAATGAGCCAACCTGTTCCACGAGGACAGTCGTCGAGGTTTAATGTATTCGAAGGATGGATTATAGGATTGAAAAGGATATTTATACTAGAATTTTTCCGAGATCGATCGCACACATTTTAGAGATTTCCACTGGAATCCACTTCATCCACCATGTGCAACTCCCGCCAAAGTCGTCGTCAGCAACATCTAATCCTGAACGTCGCAAGGAAGACGATATTGATCGACGCGACACTAAGCGTCGCCAGTCTAATCCGGACCGTACCAACCAACAATCCGAGCAGAATTAGGAAGAGCAACAATAGACGCAGATGGAGGGGTTCGTCACCAGACTTTTGCGAACGGTAGGCAGACACCAACAGCACCCGGAGGTGATCCTGACCTATCAGAAGAGGACGGCGTCTTCGACACTGAGTCTACGAGAGTTTCCGACCTGCGTGCGAACCATAATCAGGCCGTTACTGGTGAATATGTAGCTAGTAAACGGCCTGCCTTCTCGTTCGTCCTCGGGAATTCCGGCTCTTCGTCCTCAGGCAACGACCAGCCACGCCTACCACCCAACAAGCGTAGACGTCATCGCCGACGTACCAACAACCACGGCACGGAGCGTGCACAGGCTTCCGCACAGAAGCTAACCGAGCTTAATGACTCAGCAACAGTCTCTATTGAACAAGTACGAACTATGTCTTCAGCGTACGTCTTCAGAGCGGTTTTAGGGTTTAGGGGTTAGGGTATCTGACAGCACACACAAATGTGAGCACACGTCATTAGGGAACGAGGACAACCCGACGTTCCGTATTAACGGCTGCACTCGACCGCATCACGGACTCGGGTATGAATCACACGGGTCGGAAGGTCAACTATCCGAGGATGAGGCCCAATCATTCCACGATTTTACACGTGAACAAGTGTTAGCGAAGCAGAACCTTCATGGGGGCGAGGCGCTGAAGAACATGCATGATCGTTTGAGCACGAACTTTCGCCGACAGCAGCAGAGGAAGTCGTTTGAGCACGATGCAGCTAGTGAGCACGTGCGGACACCCAAGCAACAAGGAAGGAGACTATCACACCTCTGCCCACACCGGAAAGTATTGAGAGAAGTCGTCAGGCGCTGCATGCACGCATCCTACACCTTAGCGACGAGTTATACCAATCGATAGAGGATAATAACACGGCTCGGGCCGATGCTCTCCGGGTAGCAATATGAGCGCTCCGGGCTATGCTCGAGTCCAGACCAGTGGAGAAATGTCCTATACCGTCACCGCGTACATGACCTGATTGACCATCGAATAAATACCACCTGCATGACATTATGGAACGTGACACGAGAAGAGCACTTCTTGAGGCCTTTAAGAATGTACAAATCGCCGGGTTGGATGAAAGTTGGAGCCTTACTTGGTTCCATAAGGTATTAACTTACTTCAAGGCAGAAAAATCAACGCTGGACTACATACGCGACAACTTTGAACGGTTGAAGACTTGGACTTCATAATTACAAATCGAACAGATTTGCTCGCATGAGACGCAAGAACGGTGATGGATGCAGACTTTTAACAGAACTTATTAAACCATTCTATCGTAGAATTGTTAGAGGAAGCACTCAAAGGACGTACGTACAAACGTGCTCTTCAATTACATCCGAAATGGCAATTGATGAAGACACACGAGCTTCTGTAGCTGTTGAGTCCCGACATTAAGGACGCCAGGTAGCGTACCACGGCGCGTCTTCAGAACCAAACTAATAGAGAGGGACTTACGTCTAACGGGGCTCGTGACTGTACTAATAGCCGCCCAAGTCCTCAGACGGTGCGCAGACAGCCGCAGAATTGGGCACAGCGGTTCCAATCGACACCGCCTACGACATGTGCCGGATGTCAAGCACAAGCACCATCGGGTTCACGACATATTTCACGTTGTCATCATTTTCGTGCGGCACAGCCAGGGGGTAACGATGGTCGGGCACGTACGTACGACCAAAACCGTCCGTCGCAAGACACACACCCTGCACATAGACCGGCAGCAACCCCGATCTCATGACGGGGGTAAAGCAACACCCCGGGCAGGGAGTTCACCACCACGCTACCAACTTCTCAAATACAGGTGAACGCGATAACGCAGGACGACGGTTTTGAACCACAATCAGAAGCTACTGAGGTACATATCAACACGATACTTACGGAGGATTTCCAACACGTGACACCGGAACCAGACCATACCCACGGGACATGGGAGTCAGTTACCGTTGTCATCATTTTCGACATATTTCACGTTGTCATCATTTTCGTGCGGCACAGCCAGGGGGTAACGATGGTCGGGCACGTCCGTACGACCAAAACCGTCCGTCGCGAGACACACACCCTGCACACAGACCGGCAGTAACCCCGATCTCATGACGGGGCTAAAGCAACACCCCGGGCAGGGAGTTCACCACCACGCTACCAACTTCTCAAATACAGGTGAACGCGATAACGCAGGACGACGGTTTTGTACCACAATCAGAAGCTACTGAGGTACACATCAACACGGTACTTACGGAGGATTTCCAACACGTGACACCGGAAACAGACCATACCCACGGGGCATGGGAGTCAGTTACCGAACGGGAGTGAGATGTGAAGGTGTATGAGACGGATATGAGCTTGACGTTTGTTAATAATATCGGTGCAGTGATGGCGATACAAGACCCATTGCTGTCTTCTAATAACCGAGTCTATATTCACGTGCAGGTCAATGGGCGTTCGTTCATAGCACTGATAGACACGGGGGCGAACAGAAGATGCATATCACAGACATCCGCAAAACTCCTCGGCCGCCCTATAACTCCAGCACCACCTTGGTCATTCATCCATTTAGCTGATAAGACGGTACGAACTCCTCGACTGGGCACGACGGAAGTGTTGCTTATTCGATACGGAACCAAGATTATCGACGAATGACTTGAACTGATGAATTTACCTGTAGGCATGGACATCATAGTGGGGCAAGATATGTTGAAAGGGCTGGGCCTATACATAGACGGTATCTAATCTCCTCTCGCACCAATAGACCCTACAGAACTTGATGAGCTCCTCAAACCTATAGTGAAGTTGCCATTCCAGTAACACATGAACAGGCTATATACATGCGTAGGTCTACGCAACTTTGTATCTGACCGATGGCTACCCTACGTCGAGGAGCGAGTGCAGAAGTCGTTGGCGGATCTGGTGATAACGAAACGCACAACACCTACGACAGTGAACCTCCCTCTTCTAGCGGTCCCGACGTTCGATGCGGAAGGAAACGTGAAGAAGGTGAGAGTGTGCCTAGACATGCGTGCCGTCGTCAACGCGCTTATCCCTGGTGACCAGTTTTTGATTCCAAAGGTCAACGAACTTATCGTCTCGACTAAAGAGTACGAAGTGCTATACAACGTTGGATATATCTGCAGCATACCACGGGCTGCCGATCCATCCAGACTCACAATACTAATTTAGTTTCACGCACGAGCATTATCAGTACTCGTTTACATTAGCACCGTTCGGTCTCCATGTACTTACGCAGCAGTTCCAACGCACATTGATCACAATACTCGACGGCCTACCGGTCCATCACTATATCGACGACATAGTTATCGCTAGCGATGACTATGTCGAACGTATTAAGACGGTGCAGAAGGTGATACAACGCTTAACGTACTATAGCTTTAAGCTCAACCCCGCCAAGTGCCACTTTGCTATCTCCGAAGTGATGTTCCTGGGGAAGAAGGTGTTGCGCAAGGCATCGACATTGACCATAAGAAACAAGCAAAGCTAATCGACTGGCCTACCCCACTACGGTACACCGCCTTAGATTTGGCGAACTACCTCTATGAGCATCTCCCCAACTTCGCGAACACAGTCTCACCCTTACGCGAATTTTGCAAACTAAAACCGACCGAATTGATCGGTGATCGTTGGTAGGAACGACATGCACAGGCGTGGCAGGCGATAAAAGATGCAGTAGTTATTGCAGTCGCGTTGCACTTCCCGGTAGACGTTATACCATTGAACTTGGAGACCGACGTTAGCGATTGCGGTTTGGGGGGAGCATTATTCCAATGGGTCAACGGAAAGAAACATTATTTATTGTTCATTAGTAAGATATTGGCATACACATTTCAGGGAGCACATTTCAGGTGTAAGATTCGGTCTCTCAAGGCGATATTAACGCCTTAGAATAAATAAACGCGTAGGTAAATTCTAAGTATCGTGAAAATATCAAAGTAAAT